AGTGTACCAAATTTCAGCCTCCTAGGTAAATGGGAAGTGGGAGAATTAGTGATGAGTGAGTGAGTGAGGGCTTTGCCTTTTATATATATATAGATAAAAGATATCAATGCTGTTATGGTGGACTTATCTTTTCTATAACTATGTTGATCTTGGACTAACATATTATTTTTATTTTATGTTGGACTAACATATTATCATCGAACAACTGGAAATTTCTAATTAAGTAAGATAAATACCAGTTACCACGGATAAATCAAATCAGTTTATTTCCACATTAAGATATTTATGTTCAACAAAGAAACATTTTTTCAAAAAATAAAATACAAATATAATCTAGAAGTGTTACATCATTGTTTATGTTAAATTGGTTTTAAAAAGTTATTAATAGTATAAACTTAAATATACATTTAAATATGCTTGCTTCAGCTAGAAAAAAATAATGTAATGGAAAGGAGTCTACATAGACCTCAGTGGTCTGTGTGTCGACTCGAGTTGTAAAAAATTTGAGTTTTAAAAATTCGGAGCTAATTTGTTTTTTGAAGAACAAAGTTTTAAAATTGAAAAAGCTTTACTATGTGCTATGGGAACAAGATTTAAAGATATAATACAACATGATAAATAATATTCATTTAAATTTGTATTAACAGAAGATATTTCCAATAAAAGAAGCCAATAAAAAAGAATGGATAAGAATTAAAAAGAATTATAAAGAGAATTATGTTGGTTGCAAGAGTTTGCAGAGCCTGTCCCTTCAGTGCTGTCAGTCAGTGGCAGGTCGCCCCAGCCTTGACCTCTTCATCACTGATAGCCAATAACCACCTATTTACTAGATTTTTTGAATATACCTAATGTAGGTGAATTAAATGACTGAGTTGCTTTATACATAGAGGAATAATTCCGGAACAAAATATGTGCAATGTAGAAACAGTTTTCAATTTCATTTAAAACGTCAAATAAATTATCTTATCTCCTAAAAACACGAATTGTACAAAACACTGCTAATTTTGATAAGACAGGAATTTATAAAATTAAATGAAATGACTGTCCCAGCTACTACATTGGACAAACAGCTCGCTCGTTTACGCAAAGATTCAAAGAACACCTGCCTAAAAAATCAACTAAATCTGCCTTCGCAAACCATCTAAAAGACACAAACCATAATTACACCGACGTTAATACCAATCTGGACATATTGCATTCCTGCAGAAAAGGCAAGCATATGAACACCATCGAAGATTCTTTGTTTGAAGTTCATTGTTGGTGATGGTGAGTTAATGTTGTTCAAAGGTATATTGCAGACATTTTCCATCACGATTGTTTTTGTATTGTTAGTTGTAATGTGTTAGTTAAGTTTTATTTTACCTGAGGACGGGATCAGATTCCATATCCCGAAACGTTGTGTATTGTTTTTTTACAATCGTGATGGAAAATGTCCGCAATAAACCTTTGAACAACACCATCAAAGAGTTTGAAATATACCGATCATCTAAAAAATGTCCTACCCATTTGCTCAATGAAAAATTATCCTTTGAGTCAAATTTAATTTATAATACTGCAATAGATATGATAGATGGCAGTGTCAATGAAAGGCGAGGATCTGACAAAGACAACGGGGGTGGGAGGGGGCACATTCGTCACGCTCCAACATTGACGTGTACGCGTGTCCAGTCATGACTCATCTTTTGCCGGCTACACCACGCACGCTACCGTACCAGTATTATGATTGGCCAATTTTGTTTAGTCTTTTCGTGTTTGTGTGTTTTAACGACTCTTCACAGTTATAAAGAGGATTTGTGTGTTTGGAATGCGTTTAACTATGGTATCAGCTTGAAAATGAACCTTTAGGTTTGAAACCTGGGTCGCTGATCTAAATCCAGGATCACGGACAAGTACTACAGGTATTTAACCTTTTTATTAGTAAATTACGTGATCCAGAGGCTAAACATGTTTAAAAAAAATGTTAGAAACAATTTGTTTTTGAAAAGGTATTGTGCTGCTGATTAGTGGAGATTCCAATTCTATTTGCATATCTTGTATTATGAGTGTGGGCTATGGAAGTAAAAATTGTATTGAAGTTTTTAAATATAAAAATTATAAGTCTTCATTTTAATTTGTCAATAACACAGTCTTCATTAAAATTTCACAAAAAAACTATACATATATAATATGTAACATTAAAAAATTAACAAGGTTAACATGGAGAAGGAGATTTTTACCCTACATAATGATATGGAAGTAACAGGACCTGCTTATAATATTTGATTGTCATTTAGAAAAAGCTCATTTTGTCAAATAAGCTTGCATGCTATGATTCAAACTTCCTACAGTCTAATTTTAACAGCTGAGTTTAAGTTTGAATTTTAGTTTCATATCATACTAAACAACTTAAATTATTACATGCAAATAAGTAAGGTTAACACATTTGCTGTGGGTAGGTCAGTACTGATCCACGGCGATCGCAGCGCTCATGCAGCGGGGTCAGAACTAACCCACACTGCAGTGCATCAATCTGTTGCTCAGTGTGAGCCTAGCGTCGGTCGAAGGTGGACCTATACCATGTTAGCGTGTAGTGTGTGACTTAAACTATTTTATTTCAATAATATTAACATTTTAAATCTTTTATAGCTTTCATCTTTATTAAATATTTCAATTTTTTCTGACTGGTTCTTGATGGGTCAGCACTGACCTATGAATATGACGTCACATTATGAAGTCATAATCAATTCCAATCAATTTATATACTATTTTATGTTGATTATTTTATGATAATGACTACATATATCTTTGGAACATATATTTTTCCTACAGTCACCCGACAAAGTTGGCTTCCTTGTACTGTTTATAGTACAGAAAGCTGCTAATTGCTGCATATTTATACTTTGCCGTACGGTTTATACTTTGCCGCACATCAGGATTCCAACGAAACAACACAAAACAGCGTGGTTCCATTATGCACGTAATCCGTGTACGCTTGGAAATAGGTTGGCAACACTTAAAGATAATTATACTATGAGCAGCTGATTGACTATTATAACTACGATTTAACCTGTCATTTCGTGTTTATAGTTTCGGTATTTCTGAACTTTCTGGACTTTTCTTTTAAACGTTTTTAAAACCTTCCTACGATCTTAATAAACAAGAAAATACCTTTTAAGCATTTTTTTTAGGCGCGGAAACCACTTCAAATTACAAAAACATACGGAACTATATTCGCAAAACGCGGAGCACATTTCTTGCCGAGGAAAAATAGCGGAGTGATATTAGACCGCGGGTACTACTTTCTCTAGGTCACCATTTGTGTTGCCAGCTGAACCTAAAAACGTGTTGCATAGTGTTTGAAAGACTAATGATTTATGCTTTATAGTGACTGTAGGAAAAATATAATGTGTAACACGAGTGAAAAAGGCCTTTGCTGCACTCGAGATCATTCCACACTCGCCTGCGGCTCGTGCGTAAACATTGCTCTCGTGTGCAGCAAAGTGCCACTTTCACCACTAGTTACACAAATAACTATTTATTTGACATATGTAATGTATTCAGTGACATTTCCATTTTTTCTGACTCTGGCTCCTGATGGGTCAGTACTGTATGAATATGACATCATATTCACTTCCGATCGTTTTATATAATATTGTATTTCAATAAGGACACAAAAAGGAATGTTATACAGCAATAATGTTTTTTACCAATACGATTCAATTTTTTTATCTCCTTTAGCAGTGAACGTGTTAAGAAAAAAAAATTCATGAAGAAATGGTATTTTATGGACTTGACTATTATAAAAAGACACAGTTTTTTTTATCAAAGTTTTTAATTCTCGAGGCAAAAAAATAATGTTTTACTCGATAACAAGTACAAATAATTCAAAAGTTGTATGTATCCTTCATAAAAAATGCCAAGATACGTAATAATGTAAAATATATACTAGGGTAATTTTTAAGTGAGGTCTGTTTTTGCTTATAGCTCCCTAGTTTACTCCTCGCTGCTTACTGGCATTATTTTTTAACAGAATGGAACAATTTACAGCTCTGTAGCTGATGTGTACGCTTCGCTGTGTGTTAAAAAATCTTTTTTTAAATTATTGAATCCCCCGCCGCATGCGACATAGGGTCAGCAATATGTTTTTCGACTACAAGAAACATATTCAATACCAACATTTATCGCCAGATGACTGTAGTTTAAGGCCTTAGTGCAATGAGTTAGAGTAAAGTGCAGAAATTGGTTAGGGAGTTTAAAAATAGCCGCGAAAACCTTTTTCCTTTGAGGTCTTCTGTAAAAAGTCTGGGTACTCACTAAAAACACAACTCCTTCTGAAATGGATATATTCACAACCATTTTAAAACTCCTTAAGTCATTTCTACACTTTATTTACACATTCCAATCTCCAGTCATCTTGCGATGAATGTCAGTATTATATGTTTCTTGTGGTAAAAAAGTGTATCACTTATCTCGCATATGGCGGGAGATTCAATAATTTTAAAATGTTTATAAGCACACAGCGAAGTGTACTTGTTAGCTTCTGAGCTACAAATGGTTCCATTCTGTTTACAAATGCGGCGAGAAGCCTCGTTGCAGTGAACACATAAACTACGAGCTATACGCAAAAACGGCCCTTACTTAAAAAATGACGCTCATAGAAACGAGTGAAAATTAGTGTAAAGCTTCCTAGAATGTAAAAAAAAAATAAACAGCGGTAATATACAAACTCAGTATCCAAATTAAGCCTGATATATTCAATAATTACTTCATAGACAGTGTCAATGACACTATGAGGCCAAACAAGTCTTGCTCTGAGTTTTTGAACAGAATAAAATCAATCCAAGAACAACCTTGAATGCAACAAATTAATTGGTCAGAGAGCTGGGACATTTAAAAGAAATGCTGGCTAGTAAAGACATTTTTATTTATTTTTTGTTGTTTGTCAGATTCCGTCACCAATGCTGCACAATTTGACTCTGTAAAGGTTGCAGATGATCTACTAAATGTAAGTCACATTTCAGTCTCTTTCGCACTGTGAGCTGATCACTGATGAAGGTATACGTCACCTGGGAACTTCTCCGTGTGCTGCTGAGCATCTCACAGTGTTGGAACTGGACAATTGTCCTCTCATAACTGACGCGTCCTTAGAACATCTCATATCCTGCCACAACCTCCAACGTATAGAGCTGTACGACTGTCAACTCATCACACGCGCTGGCATCAGAAGGCTCAGAGTAAGATATTTAAATCTTTCTCAAGGTTATACAGGGTGTCCCGTAAGTACAACAAATTTAAAAATAGGTTTTATGGGTGAAAAATAAAACAAAATTTAAGAGTAATATTATTCCCAAAAACGCCTTGTTTGCGAGATACTTGCAATTTAGTTTCTTTTTATTTAAAACTATTAACACCATCTTATTAAAATTTGATATATAATTTAAAATATTAATAAGCTACCAGTTTGTGAAAACAACATTACTACAAAATAACCAGTCAAAATAAGGTAAAACTGTAAGGGTTCGCTTCACATTGCCCGGCATGAATAACTATAAATCGTGATTAAGTGCCACTTTTTGTTCAATCTTTTTGATTTTAATGTCGTGTGGTAGGACATTCTAAATGATAAATAAAATTAGGCACTCTTGACATTATTTTCATAAAATCTGCATCTTCATCAATAATTCACAATGTGTCTAAAATTGGTACAGTAGAGTCTCGGTTTTCCCACCTTCGGTTATCCGATTGTTTGTAAATGGTGTATCCGTTGAAATGAATAAATAAATAAACGATCTTCCGCACTATCCGACCTCCCCCCGGTCACAGCGCCTGCGCTAACAACTCCCACGATCACGGAACCATAGTCAACATGTCCGACGTTTGCGGCGTGATCGCCAACTCATCCCACGGTAACAACTCCAGCGCGACCGTCGTTTTTGTAATTTTCCGTGTTATCCGACATTTTCGCTTATCCGACCTTGCCACAGCTGGTTTGGGTCGGATAATCGAGATTCTACTGTAATTTAGCTGTCTATAATATTAATGGTACAATACCTTGTCAAGTAATCCAAATGTTGATTGAGGTTAACAACCTACATGTTTCTACGTGAATACGGCATCATCAGGGTTACAAAAACGAAGACATCGATGTCACACGCACACAATAAATACACGAATACAAACATTTAACTACGGAAAATAAACATTTAATTGACATCGATAGGCCTATCACACGCACACGACGCGGACGGTCCCGGCGCAGGTAGGAGACTGCAGTGTCAGACTCCTTCCTCGTTGTTGTCCATGTTATCAGTAGAACAAAGGTCAGGTGGCCAGTTATTTTGGTGAATTAGCACATTGAAAATAGAGTGTGACTGGATCTGCAGTTTTTCGTTGAGGATATGTCCACTGGCGGTGTTGTCATGGTATAGTTTATGAATTTCAAATTCCTCTAACGTGTTTAACTACCTTTTCTGCATTTATGTAGCACCTCAAGACCGTCAGCAATCTTACTCATGCTATGGTTTAGGTCGATTAAATGCTGGGCAAACGCTAAATTTTGTTTGATTAAACGTGGTTTGGGTCTGTGTTCGTTATAGCGAGTAGCAAACCCATGACCTGTTTGCCCAACATATTGGCTTGGATAATCTTGGCATTTGATTTTGTAAACACCTGTCATTTCCATTTTATCTCTTGATCGGTCAGTTTGTGACAGGGTGTTAGGAGTACGGTTTGTAGTTTTGTATGTTAATTCGATTCCCTGCCTACGAAGCTCTTTGGATAGGCAATTTTGTAGTGTGTGGGAATATTCAATACATACGTACTTCTTACGTTTGTCCTTTTGTTTGACCTCCCTATTATGGTGTTTGATTATAAGCTTTTATGTCTACAAGCCCGCTATTATAGCTGTTGGATATGGCTATATGTTTGATGATATTGTATTCATTATTGTAATTTGTGGGACTTAAAGGGACCGTTAGAAGTCTGTGTACCATTGAGCTGTATGCTCCAATTTTTTTAGACTGTAGATGATAGGAGGTCGTGTAAATGGTCTGAACTGAAAAAGTGGGTTTCCTGTAGATTTTATAATCAAATTTATTGTTAATTTTAGTCATGGTTAAATCTAGGAAATGTATTGCGTTGTCTTCTTCTGTTTCTAAGGTGAACTTTAGGCTCGGGGCTATTTTGTTTAGATAATTTAAAAGTAGATCCAACTGCCTTTTACTGCCATCAAACAAGACAATGGTATCATCAACACATCTATCGTTTAGTACTATTTTAGAATGATATTTATTCTTGTGGGATAAAATGTATTCATTTTCAATGTAATTTAAGTATATGTCAGATAAAATTCCAGAGAGTGGGGAGCCCATTGCCAGACCATCAGTTTGAGAATAATATTTCCCATTAAATGCAAAATAGTTTTGTCTCAAAATCTCTCTTAACAGGTCAATAATCTCTTTTATTGCCTCTGGTAACATAGCTGATTTGTTTGTTAGGTTTCTATGGTTTCTTCTACGGGCACATTCGTGTATAAATTCACTATGTCGAATGAGGCAAGCAAATGATGGTTTTGTATGTGCCAATCTTTAGTTTTGTCAATGAAATCATAGGAATTCCTTAGGCTGTGGATATTGTCAAGCACTATGTTATCCTTTAGGATTCTTTCTAGTCGTTAAGCGATATTGTATGTGGGTGCGTTTGTGTAGTCGACTAGTGGCCTGATGGAAACACCTGTTTTATGTACTTAAGGAAGCCCCCGTAGTATCGGGATGATGGGTTCATGATACGTAGATAGCGGATATCGTTGTCAGTGAATAACACTTTACTCTAATTTATCAGAGTTTTGATTTTTGTTTGATAATTTTTAGCAGAGTCTTTCTTTAGTTCAATAACTTCGTTGGCAGTGATAAACTTATCAACTCTAGCGATGTGATCTTTTTTGTACATTATAACGGTGGTATTACCCTTGTCTGCTTAGCAATGCATAGCATCGTGCTCAGACAATTTGTTTTTTATGTTTTTTACAACATTAATTTGGTGTTTTTGCGACATTGTTAGACTAGCAAAATTAGGGCTTTGTTTGTACTTTGCTTTTAATTTCCGTGATAAAAATAACCTGGCTTCATTCCTGCAGTCGTTTTCGAAGATTGATTTAATAGCTACTTCAGCGTTAATTAGTTCACTGAACATGCCTCAACTACTAGTCATTGGGAGGCTATGTTTGAGACCTTTGTCTAATGAAGACATTTCTTCAGTGTCAAATGAGATATCGGTATTGTTTATTGTACTAGGAAAGAAATCAAAATCAAACATAATGGCAGTTTCCTTGTTCTTTTGATCATTAACTAACGCCTGATTCGGCATGTCGAACTAGGCACTCCAGTTCAGCAAAATGGGCTGTATCAGCTAATTCTAGATACTTTTTCATGAGCAAAGTGTTTAGTAGAGACTTCTTAAAATACATATGTTTTATTTCATTTTTTATCCATATTTTCTCTGCCATATTCTTAGTTTTCTTTGCAGCGTAAGACTGATTTTTAATTTTTATCTGTGCGTATTTAGGGATGACATCTAGTTTTAAACAGTCTTTGTTAAATTTTATGTACTGTGTTGTGTTTGCCAACTTCATCTTAATGTTTTTGTACCATTTTCTTTAGTAATTTAGTTATTAAAATTGAAATGGCCACCACCTTGAAATCAACAGCTTTTCTTATTATTATTTTTTTACAAATATAGTTTATTGCTTGAAATCCTAAACAAAAAATACACCTTTAATAAAGATATAAATTTTAAATAAAAATGCAGATATCTTGCTAACAAGTGTTTTTAGAAAGAAATTTATTCATGATTTTTGTTTTATATCCATCCAAAAAATCCGTTCCTAAAAAAAGTTGTATGTTTTCCCCTTCCTTATAGCAGCCGGTCTGTTGACCATGGAAGCCATGTGCAGGCTTTTGAAGTGCTGCATGGCACAGGGTACTGACTCTCTGTGAGCCCGACTATCTTTGCGAGAGGCTTTCTGTCCGGGACGAGGTCATACAACGTAGGACACGTTATGGTGGGAGGCTTCACTTTCCAAGGGTCACCTTGGAATTGGGAAAGACAAGTTTCTATTATTTTGGACCAACGTTGTAAAACAGACTACCCGAGAGCCTAAAAACCGTTGCATGCAGCAATGTCTTAAAGATTAAAGTTTTAAAAATCTTAAAAGATATAAATGTGTAGATGTAGGTAGTTTAATGACAGTTTTGAAAAACAGATATATATCAGAGAAACACCTTACTATTAAAAACATTTTTATACAGAAAACACTAACAGATATTAAACCACTCAAATAACTGGAATATGAAAACACCACCTACTGTAGTTTAAAACTACCAAACCTTCATTTTGATAAACAATAAAACTGAATTAAATTTAAAGCCTGGATCTGGTACATTATCAACAACAACAATATTTTAATATCAACTTTAATTCTACACAAGAAGCACTAATATTTAATTCAAACTATAATTAACCAGCATCTGTACCCTTGTTTTGCTACAAGGAAATAAGACAATTATTGTTCTTTAAATCTGCTGTAAAAAATTGTTACATCCCGACTTTTGTTTTAGAAATAAAAATTTAACTCTGCCACAAGTGGTTAAAAACTATTATGTAACCTAGTACGAAATACTATATGAATTAATTTGTAAAAGATCCACTTAAATTGCATAATAAAGCAAATAATATTTATACATTAGTTTCATTATATTGGGAAAACAATGTCCATTTATCACTTATTTTAACATCTGTGTATTGTAAGACGTAATCAAAAAACTTGCATGAACGGTTATATAATCTTATTTATTTCCATAATCAATGACACGATTTCGAAAAAAGAATACAACTTCTCAAAACTGTATTTTTGTAGGAGTGAGCGAGTACTTGAATATTTTCAAGCAAATTCTGCAGTACTCGGTTCGACTCAAATTTTTTAGAAAATTAAAAGAGTCCAGCTTTATAATGAGTTTGCTGGAACCATTTATATCAGTCCAGTATGGCAGGATCGACACACAATCTTTATTCTAGTAACTTATTTTATAACTCTTACATTCTCCTGACCTTTAAACATAAATTAAGTTTTTTTAAACTGAGAACAGAAGTATACATTGCTTGGGCAAGACGTAAATGAAATAAAGAAGACGAATCCTAGATCTGATGAATAGATTATGAAAGCATATTTTTAAGGTTAGTATGTGGAGACAGACTTTTTTATCTGTGCGATATACAGGGTGCGGCAAAAAAACTGATCTATTTTATGCAGCGCACTGTTCAGCGACAGGTCGTCTGAGAGTGTTAGGGTTAGGCTCGTTGAAAAGCCTACACGATGCCATTACCAGAGCAACGTGCGTTTGTTATTGAGTCAAATTTAAAAAGTATTGATTCAGTCATTGCAACTCAGCGGCAGTTCCGTGCATTCTTGTAATTTGGGCAACATGGATTCCGTCAAGTAGGGACAATCATATGGTGGGTTACCAACTTTAGAACAACGGCTTCTGCATTCAAAAAGAAGCTTACAAGCCGTCCAAAGTAAATCATACACCAGACAACTAACATTCGAAAGAGTTTGTGCTGCTGTGGAAAACAGTCCTTGTAGCTCGTAGGCCCGCCCGAAAACAAGCATCTGCTTTGATCATGTCTGACCGCTCTGTTTCACTAATTTGAAGTTCAATCTTAATTCATATCCATATAGATTAATCTGTCTTAGCCATACAAATTATCATGACGGAACCTCTCCATGTCGACCTAATTTAAAGAATGTATGGGAATGTCGCTGAGTTGCAATGACTGAAACAATACTTTTTAAATTTGACTCGATAACAAACGCACGATGCTCTGGTGACCACAGATAATGGCATCGAGTATGCTTTCCAACGAGCCCAACTCCACCACTCTCATACAACCTGTCGCTGAACAGTGCGCTGCATAAAATAGATCGGTTTTTTCCACACCCTGTATTTTCCGTTTCCATTGTTTAACGACATTATTTCCAAAAATGAACCACACAGAAAGTCAATATGGACTGTTCACTTTCAAAACTAACAACAATAAAACCGAAACAAAAAATGCAGCCATTTTGTTTAACTAAACAATAGTCCTAGCTTACAGAGTTCTTTTTACAGCAACGGCAAATAAGTTAGTTGTGACGAACAGAAATCACGTTTCTTTGTTCATCTGTACTACAATATTGCAAAATTTCATTTTTGAATAAAGATGGTAAACAGGATAGGGTACAAGAGTATAATCAGGAATCACTGATTGTAAACATAACACTATAGTCAGTGTATGTATATTTAATAATGTAGTTTACTGGTTAAAGATTAATAATTACAACAAAAAATTTAATTTAATATATGCTATAGAAGTTTCAGGACATAATAAAATGACAAATACATTGATTAAGTATGGCCAAACTGTAGAGTCTGTGGGTATTTGCAAGCTTTATTCTACATGACATAACCCTCGGCTGTGACGTTAACTTTGCTTGGGATAAGTAATTCTTATGACCTTATACAAACGTGAGTAAATGCCTGGTTTTTTGTTTGTCTGTCTATAATTATAAAAATGACATATTGATAGACAGACGGAAACCAGGGAATTTAGACCCATGTTTTTGTGATGTTTTCTTTTATTGCCTCAACCTAAAATAGACAATAGACAAACATTTTTATTTGTTATTTCTTTAAGAAATATATTGGCTTTGATATAAAGAAATGTACATTAACGCCAAAATCTCGTAAGTTTTTCCAGGGAGTTTGTATACATCCTATATAGTTATATAAATTATATACAGAGAGGTGCAAAAGTAGGTATACAGTACAAACAGGCAAACAGTTTGAACACACAAGGAAGTGAGTGTTTTTGTCAAGTACAGCATGTTTAAGAGTTAATTTAGGTGTCTTAATACTCTTCAGATTAATTTGAAAATGTTTGCTTTTTATATGAGTAAATATATATGAGTAAATATATTTTTCTATAAAATGTTTCATTAGTGTATACCTACTTTTGCACCCCTCTGTATAATCCTACAAATGATATCGCCTGGTCTACATTAAGTTTGGACTGCGTCTGTTTCAGAATCACTTGCCTAACATTAAAGTCCACGCTTACTTTGCACCTGTAACTCCTCCACCTTCGACCGGAGGTTCTCGACAACGCTACTGCCGCTGTTGTGTCATTTTGTGAGACGCCCATCAGCTCATTCACTCCTATATGTGATAAATTTAAATAGAGATTGTTATGAGATATACTAACCTAATTTATTGTTTAATATTTAGAGTTTAACTGTGTAAATTGACACACTTTTAAGGATCTTGTTGTACGTGATGTTATTGTCAACATCTGTGTGCCAGAAGTTAGGAATCGGGAAAACCAAAATATAACAATGTTATCTACTAAAGGTCTGTGGTCCATTTTAAATGGGTATGGTATGGTTTTCTCCTTTGTAGGGTCATCATTGCAGTGCATCTATTTTATTTGTACAAATTTAGTATAGTTTAGCGGATAATATTTGGATAAAATAATAAGTTAAAAGTCTCAAGGCTACTGGTTAAACGATTAACGAGAGAAAAGTCAAAAGTAAAATCTGTGATTCCCTTTGCCCCTTATTGTGTATTTATTAACTTACTTTAGGGAGTTTACATCACAGTACTTTGAGCAAGTCTATAAAAATATATTTATTCATGATATTACAATGGCTTGGCTTCGCTAAGTTTTCATAAAGTTGTCGGCAAGGTCAGATTAATTCTCACGAAAACTACAAAAAAATTTAGGCCTACATATTTAGTGAACTTCTTGCATAGGAAATAAGCTTTTACCGTAGGTTTGACATATACCCAAAGCAGATTTACTTTTCGTTTTGATGTCCTTAGAGGCCGAAAACACCATCCGTTCAAATTCATATGTATATACTAAATAAAAAAAAAAAAACTATCTCATACTATCTGAATTTTTAGGAGGGAATATTTAAGGTCCGTGAAGTTAGCCCCCCCCCATAAAAGCACTAACAATTAAACTAGTATTAATGGTTAGTGCTTCGTTAGTGCTGGTTAGTGCTTCAACTCCCATCGTTAGTGCTCTTACGGTTCAGGAGCTATAACCGAAAAACTGTGGGGGGGGCCAACTTCACGGAAGTTGGCCCCCCCCACAGTTTTTCGGTGATTTAGACTGAATAGGTTTTTAGAGATATATAACGGTTTTATAGACTGATTACCAAATGCATCAGTCTAAAACATCAATCTTACTAGTTAAGTATCAAGTAACAATCTTTTAGACTTGTGTTATTTTTAGAATGATTTTGCAGTGACACTTGTTTAGGCTATGTTTACAGTAGTAAAACATGTCTCACACTACTTACACTTAACAAAACTTCTCATTATTTGCAATGTCAAAACAAAAAATTATAAAACAATTAAATCAATATTTACAAGCAAAGAACTAATTAAATAAGAACGCCTTCACAAAGGAAACGCAACATCAACACTCTCCTGTATTGCGGGTATTGCATTGGCTTTCTGCAGGCGTTTTTCGTATATGGATACTGAATCCATCATGAATTGAATTGTTTTTTGATCACCACTGAATCAAATCGTGATTCGATGCATTTTGGATGCATCGCACACTTTTGTTCTTTGTTGTTCTTACTATTGACAGTGAAGGAGCAAAATGTACTAATGATCGATAATTTGGAGCTTTCGAACTGAATTGACATATTAACCAGCCAATAAGTTCTTGGCATTGTTGCGTACTAATGACATGCGAGGCTCGCACTGAAGCTGATAACTACATCTTAGCTGTGAGCAATGCCGTAGCACTAAGAGAGTTAAGATCCTTTACCTCCATAAAACAGCCTTATCCACTGATAGAACATACCAATGTTGTACAAAGTACAGTTAAAATATTTGTACCGTACTGATGTACCCTCGAAGGTCGTTGACATGTTGGAGATGCACTATCCAGCACCCCAGGTTACTTATGCTGTAGTGCCTTTAAATAAAATGCCTTGATCTAAATGGCGTAAAACATAGCCAACCCCTTTCTCTTGGTCCTTTGTAGTTTATTAAATGTGTCAAAAATTGTTGGAACTGCATTTTTCTGATTTTAAGTTATGATATTATTTTCAAAGAAAAATAGGCCTATTTGAGTTTTATTATTGTGAAATATGTTCAGACATGTACCAACAGATTGATAATTATTTTCTTACAGTTAAAATTATTGTGCTAATGTGGTAAAGTTATTGCTGATGTGATATGATCCACTCAGCTCTATCAGTTAGTTGAAAGGTATAACTTTACTTAGAACAGAAATAAACATGTGATATTTTAGTTTCTATTCCACATTAGTACATAATTTTCCCGACTTCCTCATACTCTGGTAATGAATAATGTCCAAAACACAGTAATTAAACTGAAAATTTGTTATTGAGTGGCATAAAAATATAAAAGGATAAATACTTAGAAACAATATATAAAATTAAGAACAAGATTGGGCAATACAAAAAGACTAATGGATAATACTTTAAATTATAATGGTTAGTGCTTTGTTTGAAGCCTTCCTAAAACACAAATTCTACAGCAAAGTCCTTGATGACGGTTCAAATGTTAGAATGACACTTTGCCTCTTCAGGGTTATTCAAAATTATGATCCTTATTTTGTGTATAAATCTAGTTTTTATTTATTGTACAAACAAATTGAATGTTTCTGTTCTAGACATTTCATTACAGGTCCTCAGTGACTCATATTGTTTGAATCTGTTACTTTTGCCATTGATGTTCTGTTGCTGGACCTGAGGTATGATGGTATTCTTAATTATTTCCACAATCTGCTGTCATATAATCCAACACTAATAAATCTCTGTCTTCAAATCCATCCTTCTCAAAACACTTGAAACAATATATACGCGAAATTTGCATGTTTTTTTATGAAGGACTATAACATTGATTGATTTATGTGAGATATGACTCAGATTGTTTCTGTGTTTTTGTCCCTGACATTGCTTCAAGATTTTTTAAAGTTTATGCAATAAAATACTTATGCAATTTGAAACAATCCTAAGACATATTAATCCAGCAATAGTTTTTATTATAATCAAAAGCATAACTTTTTATTTAGAAATTTATTTTAAATAATTTTGAAAAAAGTTGGTAGGTTAAACTTTACTAGGTTTTGATGAATTTCCAGAAAAAAGAATACAACCGTTTTAATATGAAGAAAATGTTGAAAAAGACTTGTACTATAAAAATTTATATTCAAACATACTGTATTTGTTTTTATATTTTCATGCCAACGTTAATACCAAACTATAGAACATTACACTGAACCTTTCAAAATGCTTTTATGGTTTGGTCTAATGGCATCAACTTCTGTGGACTTAATAAATCTAGCTTATAGATTAATCAGTTAATTAAGTTTATAACATTTTTACGGCATATATAAAAATAAATATTGGGACATAATATATATAAATGTATGTGTGTATGAGAGTGTGAGTGAGTGTATGTGTATTGTAGTTGTTGTGTTTTCTATGAAATGATAATCAATTTATCATTTGTTGGATTTATTGAGAACATTTACCATGTTTTATCTTTTTATCTTTCTAATATAAAACAGTATGTACATACGTACTAATTACTATCAGCAATTCGTTTTAAGTCCTTTTTGAAACTATTTTTGTAACTTTTACTGATTACTGCACATAATAAACATGTTGTTATTTTCTTTGAGTCTGCGATATAATTTGCATATTATTCTGTTTTGATTTATTATTAAATATATTTTTTAAGGCAAACCAATAATTTCTGATTATTTCAATGTCACTTAACAATTTAGCACATTCTCTGCTTGGTGATGTATTGTGCACGAGACACTAAAATGCAAAGCAAATCGAGAACCGGTTAGATAAATTATCAATAAAGGATCAAATAACAATATATTATTGTTTGTGATGTGTTGATACCAAAACTTATCAATTCTATGTATTGATACCATTTTCTAATTTTACAATATTTTGCTGTATGGATTGGTTATACTACTCCAACCACTGTCTTTAGGTCCTTCCATAAAGTAATTTTGAAGTAATTGGGTGTTTTTCAAGTAAAAAACAAATTAATGCAGCAATAAAAAATTCCAACTAGCCAATTTAAATTCAAGCCCTTCCAACACTTTAAATAAATACCATAAAAAGTAAATGAAGATGTTACACAAAAAAAATCAAAAGAAAATGTTATTATAACTAGAGGGTGTGCCAGTCTGAGATTTTGATCAAGCCAAACTCAAGATAATTCTTTGTTTGAAGTTCATTGTTGGTGATGGTGAGTTAATGTTGTTCAAAGGTTTATAGCGGTCATTTTCCATCACGATGGTAAAAAACAATACACAACGTTTCGGGATCTGGAATCTGATCCCGTCCTCAGGTAAAAAAAAAGAACTTAACTAACACATTACAACTAGTAGTGTAGTGTATTCAAACTTAGGTTGGACGTTTGTGTATTGTTTGTTGTAATGTGTTAGTTCAGTTTTTTTTTCACCTGAGGACAGGATCAGATTCCAGATCCCGAAACGTTGTGTATTGTTTTTTACCATCTTGATGGAAAATTTCTGCAATAAACCTCAAGGTAATATCGTGATCTTCTACCGCGGTTGTGTAGACATTATCATCATCTCCCACGATCGCGGAAAAATCATTAACTTACCCTGCAGCCATTTTGACATCATATTGCCTCCCATGATTGCGGCAAAATTTTGATTATATCCTGCGACCAAGTGGACACTATCATCGTCTCACGTTGTCATGCGCAATTGCGGCAAAAGCGGTAATTTTTTGATTTTGCAATTTTTGCTGACGTGTTGGGTATCAGTATCGGCATCGACTTTAGACGATCGATATCAATGCCCAAGGTAATACTTGGACTCATCCCTAGTTATTGTTTATTCCCTAGCAAGTTGTTCACTTGCAAGAACGCCTTGTTGATGACTGAAAGTAGCCTATATAAGGGCTTAAGAACTAATTTATTAAGTTTTATTTACATCTGTTACAATCAAAAGTTAATTTATTTACTATTACATATTTTGACGATCAACGTTATTTTCTGTTGAAGTATATAAATTAAAAAATGTGGTTTTCATGTCCAACATAATGATTTTTATTTATTTATCTTCCCGCGATCCCATTTCCCATTTTAACCTATGATCTAGTGTGATAAAGTATTACAGTTCCTTTGTACAATAGGACCTCGATATCTCGAATATGAGGGTGATATGAAAAAAATTCGAGTTATTGAGTCTTTCAAGTAAATGAGGTTTGAGTTATGAATGTGATATACCAAAAATTCAAGATATCAAGGTGTTGGATTCTGACAATTATGTTACGTCACGACCTTTATAACTCGACTTAACACGAAAAACGTTATAAATTGAGCTCAAGCTATTTATATGTACTGAAGGATAACTTTGGAAGCAAAATAAAACCATTTGCATAATAATCGGTTGAGTAAATCCGAACGACAACCCTAAAAAAATTGCTTTAAATTGTTTAATTGGCTATTTTGACTTAGAATTATATGCATTTACCAGGAAAAAAAGTCTAAAGAAATCGGAGTCTTGGAAGTCCAAAATTCAAGATGGCGTCCAAGATTTTGGTCAAATACTTATACTGTTCTTTCTAACCAATTGTTTTTAAATTTATGAGTATGTTTTGCTTGAACAATCCATTAATAGGTCTTAAAATAAAGATCGCAAGCTAAAATTCAACATACATATTTTATTTACTTAATATATATATATATATGTAAATTCTTTAATTCTTTTTAAATATTAATACTCATAAGGTTAACATGGAAATTTCCAGAGCTACTGGGACGGAGCCCGAAAGGATTTTTTAGATCTTATCTTATCTTATCTAACAGGGGCAGGTCAAGACCTTGAAGCACTTCATCCGAAATCAAATTATTGCGCACCCCAGACAATTGTTTTCTTGTTGACCTTACAAATTAAGGTGTCCAATAAATGCCTGTAGCTTCCCGATAAGTTCATCCTCAGGAAGATATCTTCCTCTAGCCAGATTACCAAGAGTTGTCATTCTAGCATCAGAGAGCTCGTTACAGTCAAAGAGTAAGTGATCGGCTGTCTCTTCTGACCTATCACAGTGCCTACAGATCGGTTCACTTTCAAATAAGCCCATCCGTTGTAAATGTTTCCTGAATCGCCCATGACCAGTTATCAGTTCTACAGTTGATTTAATTCTTCGTCTATCTAGTCTCAAAAGGTCGGAGGCAACCTTTTTAGAAGGCCTAAACAGAATAAGCTTACTGACCCTAAGAAGGGGAGTATCAACCCAGCATTTACGATGCTTTTCTTTGGCCCATGACACAATCGAAGAGCATGCACTGTTTCAAGAAATGCCACAAAAGGGTTGTGGGCCTATCATGGTTGTCGCAGAGGCAGTATTTGCCAAATCTGTCTGCAGCTTCATTACCTTTTATGCCTGAGTGTCCTGGCACCCAGCAGAGCGTAAGATCATTACTCCTACCCAACTCAGACACAGAAGTAAGGCAGTCCCACACGAGCCTAGAGTTGAATTCGTAAGAGTGTAGTGCTTTTAAGGTTGCTTGACTATCAGTATAGATATTGATTGTTTTGTCTCTGATCTCTTTATTAAGATGTTCTCGAGCACAAACCAAGATGGCAGTGACCTCCGCTTGAAAAACAGTTGGGTACACTCCCATAGGAAGATAAATGCCAGTGCCTTCGTTTGTCCAGTGCACACCTGCTCCAGTGCCCCCATCTTTGATCTTAGAACCATCAGTATAGCATTCTAAATCACCTGCTATACTGGGATAGGCCCTTTCCCACCAGACCAATCTTCCCTGTCTGGTATTAGTACTTTGAAAGGCTTTCCAAAGGAGTATTTTTTGGACATATGATCTGAAGGTAGGTCCAACTCATCATTGTGTACCACCTGAACAATTTTAGAGTGCCCTTTATTATTTCTTGTGGTCACCCATAAGGTTTCGCATCTAAGGCGTAGGGCTGTTTTTCTTGCTACCACCTTGATGAAAATATCGATAGGTAACATGTCAAGCAGACAATCTAGAGCTGCTCCAGGGCAGCTGCTTACTGCCCCAGTTATCATTATAAGAGCGAGCCTTTGAACTCCTGCTAAAGCTTTGGCAGCTGCAGTAGATTCCATCTTTGGCCACCACACAAGCGAACCATATGTAAGGGCGGGTCGGACAACAGATACATACAGCCAGTGCAAAAGTCTGGGCTGTAACCCCCATGTTCCACCTACCATCCGCCTGCATGCCATAAGGGACCATTTGCCACGTTCAATAACT